CTTTTTCAAGGAAATTTAACCATAGCCCCTCATATCCTATGTCCCTTCCTTCTTTTCTCAAAGAGCCTATTGGAGACCCTCGTTTTATTTGTGATATTCACGCTCCCTACTCATCAATTATTGAGAAAAATGGTGATTTTGCCACCAAAAAACATTTTGAGGAGAGTTTGCCTTACTTTTATTTTTCTTCTTTTGTTGAATTTTCTTTTGATTCTTCTTCTTTTTCTTGGCATCTCTCTCCTCATTTGCGTGCACTATCCTTGTCACGTTATCTTCCCGTCATTTGCCAACCTTCTTTCTTATGAAATGTGTAGTAGTGCATTTGACTAGCTCTTGCGATCGTTGCAATATTATTTACTAGAGCAGTCTAGCTTGGACCTTAAGCAAGTCTTTCTCGGGAAATAACCCGTGTTTTATTTCTTTCATTCTTTTTTCTTTTTAGAATAGTTTTTGTCTCATGGAAATGTTTGTGTGCTTTGTGCTAGGTACATAACTTAATATACTCTTATGCATTGGTTTGGACCAAGAATCAAGGAAGTTTGACTCCACTTTTGCTAGAACATGGAAATCAAGATTCAAATTTAGAGGTAGTCGGCTACAAATAGGTTTAATTGGGTCATTTGCGGGTATTTATACCCACCTAATATCCGGTAATATCCTTCCTTGCTCTTCCTCTAATGATTTGTGACTTGTTGGACATATGTTGGTTGGTTGGATGACTTTCTTTCTTTTCCCCACCCATGTATTCTTTTGTTTATGGTTTGAGAATGTTGCCTCATTCAAGCTTGGGGGAGGGTATTCTATCATGTTTGGTGGAATTTTGATTCATATATGCCTTGCACATTTGTATATGCATTTACAATTTGTATATTTTGAAATCCCAAATAGATTTTTGTTTCTATCGAGGCAAATTTGCAATGTGTTTTTGTTTTGTTATTTCCTTGGACTTGATACATTTAGACTTGTATTCTTTCATATCTTTCTTCCTAAATTTTAGTGGTATGCACGATTTAAGATTGTGTTAGGTTTACTCTAGGATATGGTATGCTAAGGTAGTTGTTAAGAACTTTGGGACCATGAAGCCCTAGATCACTTGCTTGTGGTAAGATAGTGTTGCTCTCTATAGTGGATATGAAATCAAAAGTTAGTTATTGCTATCCTTAGTGAGGTATAATTATTCAAGCCTTCATCATACTTTGTTGGGGCGGCATATTTGGATCCTTGACTATTGCATTCTCATAACTAGAACTTGAATTTTAGCTCCCAAGATCGCGACCGAGCCACTTTAGGGGATGACAAAGGAATTCCTCTTTTTATAGGATAACTTTTCTATTTTTGGATTTGGTTTACATTTGCCCCTCTTGCTAACTCTTTTGAGCCATATACATTCTTTCTCTAGCCACAATAAAAGCCTTCAAGCCTTGGTTTCACTTTCTACCTTTAATTTTGTGAAACAATTTTGTTTTGGAGCTTGTTTGATTGTTTATGGTGCAAGTTTAGAATTATGAGTTCAGTTGCAAAGCAAGTATAAGTTGTATATAAGTTTGTGCATAAAAGAAAATGCATTTTGAGAAAAAGTCGTCCAAAGTTAAGAGAGGCAAGGACATTAAATGAAAAAAGCAAAAGCTTCAAAAAAAATCGAAAAAAGTAAAAGAAGAACGAAAAGCACAAAAAGATTTTGTTATATTTGTTTTTTTTTTCCTATTTTTATTATTTTGTGTTAAATAAGCTTGGGGGAAATTTGTTTTATGAGCATAGTTGGTACTTTTGTTTTGGATTCATTTGGATCTTGTGGAAAAAGTTCCACCCGGGCTTCACATGTAGGTTTACCGCCAATTTCAAAAGTTTTCCACACCTTTACTCTCCTAGCCTGTATATTACAACCTTGAAAGTTCTTCTGATCCTAGAGGGTTAAGTCATTTAATGGTGGCGGGAAATAGGAATTAAGCCTATAGAGCGAGTTTGCATAGCCAAGATGTGTGGTAACCTTCTCATGTTTTGAATTTCTTACTTATTTTCCGGTTCCTTTGTGGAATCATGAGACGCTAAGTTGAAAGTGGATTTGAAACTTATAGAGAGGACGTGGTTTGATTGGTTGGAACAAAAGGTGGAATGTGTTTCTGTTAGTTCTCTATTCTTAGCATATGTCAAGTTTCAATCAACCTTGGACATCTTGGAACGTGCATACCTTTATTTTTTAGAAAGATTGACATTCTTTAGTGCTTGTTCCATCATAAAAGTCCACTCAAGAACGCTTGTAACCTCTCTTTTACTTTGATTTATTTTATTTATTTATTTATTGCTTTGCCTTGATTTTTGTCAAGAGTTATGGGTTAAACTCTTAGGATACCCTTATGACAGCATACTCGTCCTCTAGAGCAATCTAAGGGGTTTAAAGTGCTTGATACATATGCTAAATGTATTCGTGATTCCTACGAAAGTGAGTTAGTGTATATTCTTTCTCTTCTAGTTTTATTTGTTTAAATAATATGCACCGTTTTCCCTTGTGTTTATATTGTTTTGCTCGAGGACGGGCAAAAGTTAAGCTTGGGGGAATTTGATAAGTATCATTTATGTCACTATTTTTAGGAGTTTCTGGTTAGTTTTTCATTGTTTGGACTTATTTTTACTTGGTTTTAATAAGGTTTTATTTCATTTGTCGTGTTTGCATGTGAAATGTCATTGTTGATCAATTTTGGCTTTACTTGCATATTTTTGGTTGCTTCTTGCATTAGATTAACCTTTATTGGTTTATTCTTATGTTTAGAAACTCTTGGATAAGCTTATTGCTCAAGATTGAAGAAATATAAAACGTATAGAACAAATAATGAAGAAATGTGCACTTGATTTGCAAAGATCAAACTTCAAACGCCTATATCTTTTGATCTACAAAATATTTCTGAGTGATTCCAATTGGAGATGAAAGCTTATCTCAAGAGTCTTCCAACGACTGGTCACATGCCTTGTTCTAACGAGTAACAAAGAAGTTATAGCCTTCCGGAACGAAACTGCTTCTAACAAGAAAATTTGCACGTCCGTGCAAATTGTGCACGTCCGTGCTTAATCTGGCATGTCCGTGCAGGCCTGTGCTCCGGTTTTCTAAAGTTTTCGCTTAGTATGCACATCCGTGCCAACTTTGGCATGTCCGTGCAGACCTGTATCCGGGTTTTTTTCCTTGTTATCTCCGTCCTTTCTATTTGGGGTTGTATAAATACCCCTTGGCTTCCTTGTAAAAGAGAGATATTTCATTCTTAAATTTTTGTAGATTAGGGTTTAAGAGAGAGAAACTTTCAAATTTTAGAGAGAGAAAGTGAGGAAAAACAATGATTTTCATGGATTTTGGAAAATCAAAGGAGGAATTTGAAGATCTCCATTTTATATCAATGAGAATTTCTTACTCTGTCTTCTCTTTATGCTTTATTTAATTGCTTTTAGTTTAATAAACAAAATAAAAAGAAATTTGAAAAAATAAATAAATAAAGTGATGTTTTAAAGTAATTTCTTTAATATTAATTACTTCGATATGAATCAATTTTATTATTACTTTTTCGGTAAAACTCAATAATATTCGTTTAAAAGATAATTAAAAAAGAGTTGGAAAACTATTGTAGGTAAATGCGCATGGAAAATTTTAGAACACAATAAAAAGGTATACATTTTATATAGAGATAATATATAAGTTTGGAATAATATTATTATAGTTTTATTATAAAATATTCCAAAAATAAAATATTTTTTGCTAAAAGGGGAGGGGAGTTTTGAAAGGAAAAATAGCACCAAGATGTGACACACGTCACTCCCGGTATCTGTTTTAGTATTGAGTTATTATTGATTGATTTATCACAATAAGTATCCCAATAATATCTTTTGTTAAAAAAATATTAGTAATAAAAATCTCACGCGCATATGCAAATAATATATCTGCAACAAAGGACAATATTTCGGACTCCTAGGAAAAACTTTTAGGGGAGTGTTAATTGAGTTTTGGTGGGTTTAATTAATGAGAGAGAAAGGTAAAAATACAAAATTACCCATATGGTGATATATATAAACTAAACATTTAAGTGTTGAAAAATAAGGGTATATTTGGTATTTGTAGTGTGAACACAAATATTTGTAGTGGGTTTTAGGTAGTGGGTAATAGGTGGTGGAGGGGACCACTAGCCAAAAAAGTGGGTAATAGTGGGTAATTGATAGTTAAATATTACCCAAAAAGGATAGAAAAAAATTTGTTGCAAATAATATAGAGCACCCATTTTAGGTAAATGTTGCAGATAATTGCGGACGGAGGGAGTAATTTTTTTTGGTGAATTTCATAACTTGTTTATATCATTTTAAAAAACTTTTAGTTTTCTAACTTCTTAGGCATTCGTAATCTGATTATAGAAGGCGATAATATGGCAATTATAAATTACATTAAGAGGATGTGGCAAATCGCATGGGAGTCAACATCATATGTGACATGGAGGTAGCTTTAAACACTCTTGATTCTCACTCCGTTCACCATTATTGCAGGAAGACAATATGGTGGCGGACTACATGGCAAAGAAGAGGCTCTACCATGAAACTTTACTTTGATCCTTTGATAATTTTGCGCCTTCTCTCTCCCTTATCATCTAAAAGGATGCTTTAGGTATCTCCAAAAGGGCTAACCCAGTCTTTCTCTCTTAAAAAATAATTATAAAAAAAAAAAAACTTTTTTAGTTTTCAGTTAAAGTGTTAGCAGTTTTCATGAAACACTCTTGACAATTTGTCGTGCGAGGTTTAATTGCTATGAGCATATGAGTAGACACTAGTCAGTGTCCAACAGAGAGACAAATATAAATTTTTTTTTTTATCCATAGTCCGTACATAATATAGTGTTATGTGTTGTACGAAGTATTAAATATCAGCCATCTATCCAAAGAAAAAAAAGGAAAAATCTTAATTTAACTCAATAAAGTGGTTTGTTTTCTTTTGTTGGGGGTAAAAAAATAAGGGCTTAGGACCAATAAGCTTGCTTCTCAGAAATTGTTGGATAAATTGGATTAAAATTAATACATTAAAAAACAATTCCATGCATCCAAACACAACTTTGGGATAAAAGGTGGGAAGGGGGCATAACAAATAATAATGATGTTAACATACATTTAACTTGATCGTAGCCAAGCAGTATCCTACAAACTAAAGACATTAATTGGAGTCTTAACCTGAACTGGATGCAACTGCCTCTGTTTCTGCATCATCTAGACTTGGAGGTTTAGGAATTAATCCAAGAACCTCGAACATCTTTTGATCTGCATCAAAGTCATTATTAGCAGTCGTCAACAGCTTCTCACCGGTAAAGATGGAATTTGCACCAGCAAGAAAACACAAGGCTTGCTCGGGCATTGAGAATCGGATCCTCCCAGCTGATAATCTGACCATTGCACTTGGCATCACTATGCGAGCTGTTGCTATCATCCGAATCATTTCCCATATTTCAATTGGCTGAAGATGGAGGTGAATACATGAAATGGTTATATAATTCAACAGTCACAAAAATCATCTGAGCTTTATTATAGTACCATGCATTCTCAGCATATTAGGAGTTTAAATGGATTTCAAAGACTATAAATGCTCCCAGATGTAATTTTCAGCAAGTTTAAAGAGTCCAAAGGTCCTAAAAAAAGGGATGAAAACTTGCCATTCAGGAAGGATGGCATTAGTATCAAACTATCACGCTATCTAAGATGATGATTGAATAGCCTACAAGCTTGAAATAACATCAAAGGCGAGCCTTTAAGTTGGAAAGCAAAGTCCATAAGGCTAAATATATAACACGGGGAGCCTCATTCCACAAGTCCAGAGGGTCCAGACACTCCATTTCAGTCTTTCAGAGGAAGAACTATTCTACTAATACACACTAAGACAGCTTCAATGGCAAGAAGCATACAAACAATAGAAGATACTAATATGAAAATTCACTAATAGATGGAAAATGATACTGATAACAGAGTGACCAACTTTCGACCAATTACAGTAACACAATCAGAAATCTCCACAAACTAGACACTCATATAGGCAAAATTGCGATGTAAAAATGCAAAATTCAACAAAGAAAGGAGCCAAGATTTATATTTTCAGGTATTTTTAGGGATTATATTTACCTTCTGATCTTCAAGAGGAGTGCCTTTTACAGCTATAAGTGCATTAATTGGAACACTCTCTGGGTGTGAAGGCAAAGTAGCCAGTGTATGTAACAGGCCTACTCGATCCTCGGCTGTTTCTCCGAGTCCGATTATTCCTCCTGTTGAAAACGAATATTCAAAGTCAACGAAATAGAACATTTACAACTTGATTATACATAAATTCAACACTAATCATAAAGCTCTGCATAATTCACTGGCCTGTAAACCTAGGGTGTCAGAATCCGGTGATACTTAAGAAGTGTTATTACTTAAACAAAGTTTTAGACACTAAGTTCATTATTAAAATTATATAGTTGTTGGCGATTATAAATGTACAAAACTTAAATGCAATCAGTTAAATTCCTACGGGTATCACAATTGGATATAGGAGCACAGAAAACATATACATTATTACACATCCAACCGTCTCTTGATATATACGAAGTAATAAATTACCACAGCAGACATTGATATAGGAGCACAGAAAACATATATATTATTACACATCCAACCGTCTCTTGATATATACGAAGTAATAACTTACCACAGCAGACATTGATCCCTGCATCACGGACAAACTCAAGGGTTTGCAGTCGCTCATCATAAGATCGAGTTGTAATGATATTTGGATAAAACTCTCTTGAGGTATCAAGATTATGGTTGTATGCTGTAAGACCTGCCTTCTTCAAGTCCTCTGCTTGCTGCTTCTCCAGCATGCCCAAGGTGCAACAGACCTCCATGCCCATATCCCTGTCAGAAAATAAACTTTAGTTAGAAGAATTTCAGTTTCCTAAAATACTACGATGGCAATGACAGCTATTAACTAAAAAAATTTTAAGACAATTATCAATCTCTCTAGCTATAAGCAATTGGTGTCAATAAACAACTCAGAAATTCTTAAACAATAATTAGACAAATTGTTTCCAACGATTTCCTTAGTATTTCTCTCCTCTCTCTCACCCTGCCATTTTCCTCCTGTAATATTGCGTACTTTAATGTGTGGGGAAAAGCATCATCCCATACCACGCAGTCGAATCATTTAAATGGTCTTCATTCCCAATGTACATGGGAACAACATGAGCCATGGCATATATGTATGCAGCATTATATACAAGAAAGAGATCAAATGATTTGAATAGATATTGAGTCGCAAATCTCATCCAAGGGGAAAAAAAGAAAGCGATAAAGGATATTGTTCACAGAAAAGACAACTCTACTCAAGTCTGCTAAATCTGAATGGTTATACACAATCTGGCACAAAGCTCAAAGAGCAGAGGCTTATCCAATATCCAGTTTATCAATCCTAAGAAATTAATGAAACGAGAAATAAAAGGTGAAATACAGCTGATAAAAAGGTAATTCTTGCATCTAGCCATGATGGCAGCTTAATGGTATGATTAATGTGACCTAATATAATTGAAAACAAATATATGGTGACTTAATGTGACCTAATATTATTGAAAAATATATACATAGGCAAGTAACTGGAATTTACTTTCCTTTTTTTGGCGGGGTTTTGGTGGGGGGAGGGGGTGAAGGATTTATGTCTTCATCAAGTGCAATTACTAGATATATCATGGATCAATATTACAAAGATAATAAGATAATTCTTTTGGATCGTTATTGTTTGTTACTAGATATGATAAATGATCTTTAGACTAGTCAAATAGTCTAAAACTCAATAGAATGGATCCTATGAGATCACACATTAGGGTGATGGATTGAACAAAGTAAGAGGCCCACTAATTGGGCCTCACATGGATATGGCCGGCCACATGGAAAAATAGGAGGGAGTAGTTTGGGTTGGATTAGGAGTTTGGGCTTCATCATGCCTAGGTTAGGCAGACAACAAAAGTCACAACACGCTAGAGCAGTGAATTGTGAAGCAAGCAACCAAACCCTAAACCCTCCCTCACACACCTCTCCCTCCTCTCTCCTCTGTCCGTACAAAGCAGTACGGCCCTCCCCCTCTAGTGGTGGTTTGTGGCCCGGTTTTTCCTCCCATCTCCGTACAAGGTGGTTTGAATCGTTCGTGCCCAACTAACTAGCATTAGTGGAGGTTTAATCCTAGCTCGTGGACCAAGTAGAGGAATTACGTTTGAGGTTCTTGTTCTCCTTACTGATCGCCTTGTGGAATCACGCTTCAATGATATAATTATGTGTTTCTTTATGTGTTATGCATAGATCTTGTTTTAGGTGCTTATGAATACGATTCATGAAATTCCACTTAGAGTACCTATTTCCTTACGGGGGAACACAAAAAGAAGATTTTAGCACATCAAATTAGAATGAAAAATCTTCATCACCTTATTTCTTTCACATAATCAAGAATTTGGTTCAAATAAAAAAAGAAGCTAAAGCACATCAAATCAGAATGAAGAATTATCGTCACCTTATTTCTTTAACATAATCAAGAATTTGGTTGAAATTGGTCTTCCGCCCTACAGTGTCCCTCCAAGCAGCTCCCATGCAAAATCGCGTACTTCCAGCCTCTTTTGCCTGCCAGTATAGGAAAAGATACCATTTAACAACAAAAACAAGGAAGAAACTAAAGTACACAAATCAATAAAATTATACTGCCTACATAAACTCAATTGACAGTCATTGTAGTTACATTCTGACACAATCAATTGGATCCATCAATTTTCTCTAAATCATGCCATTCCCTTCTTCATCCATTCAGACTAAGATCTGAACTGTATTGCCAGTTTTATTAAAAATTACATTCAATATCATATTTTATTTTCATGTGCAGCTTGGGCAGAAAATTCATTGTCAATCTCAGCATTTGATATAATGGGGAAAAAATTTCACCTTCTTTGCTGCCTCAATGACTGTGTCCTTATTCATCATTCTTTGAGCCTTCACTCCAGTGCCATATCGAGAGGACTGTGGGCAATATGAGCAATCCTCACTGCAACCTCCAGTCTTAATGGAGAGAAGAGTGCATTGTTGAACTTCTCTAAAATTGTGAGCATGTCTATGAACTTGGGCCTGCAATACCATTTCCAATATAACAACATTATCCGTTAAGTGAAGAGAAATTGGTTGACAAGACAATCAAATAAACATACAAGCAATAGAAATGTGAACAAACTGGGTTAATGGAGACATCACTTTATTAATTTAGTATATATACAGAGAAAACAATAAATGTGGCAGCCCTAGAGAAGAGGCAAAATGTATTAGATAAATTAAACCAAAGGATGCAATACAACAAAAGCATCGACAAATGATACATTGAAAGCAACATAAAGGAAAATCTATTGTGGTTTTACTGAGCTAAAACAAAAACAAGATAGGTTGATTGAGACCATATAATGAACTAAAGTCATCATCAAATGCCCACTTTCCCTTGACTTCATTCTTGAACCACATGAACACAGGATCTGTTCATTATAGATTTCATGAATCATGCCTCGTTTAAGAATAATATATTCATGAGACGGTTTGGCTGTTGGAGTTGATGACTACAAGGGATCCCAGTTATATTAGACACGGTGTTCACTATCTAAGTGCGGCAGAGTATATAGCAATGATCGCCTTCATTCGTGTTTTCATGGAAAAATCCCCATTAACAAAGCAGAACACAATCAAACTCGAGTTGTAATGCTCTATAAGACCCAAACCAATTAAAGCACTAAACACCGGCTATTGGAGGCACAATTCTTGATATATTATGACCTCAAAATACTTTTAAATTGGCAGGAATAGTGGCTTAGTGAGACTCAAACCAAGTCAAATTAGATTATGCAAAAGCATAAGCAACATTGCAAACTTAGTCTACCAGCTTATTCAAATTAAATAATCAAATGCTACCATATTAAGCATTAAGGAAATAACTTCAAAAACCACATAAAGCGAGAAAATTTAAGGGGGGTGAAACAGAATAGTATACTAAATTACACCAAAACCCAACATTTTTCCTACACCAATTTCTTCAAATTAAAGGTGGGGATTTTCACAAAATCAACACAATTACTACAATTCAACCAAAAATCTATCATATTCCGTACAATGCTTAAATTGAAAGCCAATTGTCAATAATGCCAACTTAGTTAGTGAAGTCTCGGGATTGTACCCAAGTCCTTGAATCAAATCCCGTCCGCATCACTACCGAAACAAAACAAAGTGGGGCATAAAAAAAATCAGAGAAGTAAAGAGAATGTATAAAATTTACCCCATGAAACAGAAGGTCTAAAACAGGTGAATCATAGATAGATTTAATCTCAGGACGAGTCCAATCATTGCGAGGCCCATCTTTAATACTTCTGGAAGCTTCGATTGCAGCAGCAGAAGAAGAATACCAACAACAATGAAACCCAAGAATCTGGGGTTTTAGAGTGTGGCGTATGGATATTATACCCAACATTGTTTTCTCCGCCTCTAATTCTTCTCCTCTGTTTTTGGAGGAGAGAGAAAGAGGAAGAGAGAAGGGTTAACTGAATAAGATGTTTGATGGGGTTTTAGAGGTTTGAGTTGTTTTAATGGAGATGTAATGAGAAAAGGTCAACAATGGTGAGAGGAGATTGAAGGGGGTTAGTGAAGTGATCCGTTAAATAGCTAGGTGGGTTGATAAGTAGGTGAGACTTGCAAAGTACAACTGATGCTATAGGAATGGGACACCTTTCGGGTTTTTTTTTTTTTTTTTAAAGAACTCCCACAAAGGGGAGAATTAAATTGCTAAATTACTTTCTATTAAAAATTAAAATAAAATAATATATTACCTCCGTTAATTTTTATGTGTAACTTTAGAAAGGTTTTGCAAATATTAGAGAAAGTAAATGAAGGTAATTAAAGTGACAGGGGAGAGAAAGTAGACCCACCCACTTGCAAAATTGGTGGGTAATTAAAGTGATAGGAGAGAGAAATTAGGCCCACCTATTTGCAAAATTGGTGGATAATTAAAGTGATAGGAGAGAGAAAGGGTAAATTATGAAAATCTGAATTTTTAAGTAAGGGTAAATATGTAATTTATGGGGTTTTTGTTTACTTAAAAATAGAAAGAAAACAGACAGTTGTAGATAATGTTTAGCGAACAAAATTAGTAAAAGTTGCACATAAAAATTAACGGAGGTAGTACTAATATTGCTTGGTACATCAATTGACAATTTCCCACCATCTATAACCCAAATCCCATGGTTGGAAATGAGCTAAGGCATGAACGACTTTATTACTACTACGTTTAACATAAGAAAAAAAACATAATCATCGAAACTAGAACATAAATCAAGAATATCCTTGATAACAAGATGGAAAGAGCTTTGTCTACCTGCTGCACCTCGCAAAGCCTGAACAACCATCAAGTTATCACTCTCAACAACCCTAGTGCATCTCCTCTCTGCAGCAAATTTCAGCCCATACCCATACCACACCGCTTTAGCCTCTACAACCTTCGTATCCCACCTCTCCTTGCACTGATTAATTGCATAGCCTAGAACCTCCCTCCCCCCCCCCCCCCCCCCCCTACAGTCCCTAATCACAACCCCAATCCCAAAGCCAACATCACCCAAGAGCCCGACATCAACATTTACTTTAACCCACCCCTCCCTAGGCTTTGACCAGCTGACAATAGGGGTGTTCAGTTACGGGTATCCGAAATCCGGGTACCCGAATCTTCGAGTAGTTGATAAGTCGGCCCGTGTCCCGTCCCGGATAATTCGAGTACCTGATATTCGGGTACCCGAATTATCCGGGACGGGACACGGTACCCAATTTTTTTTAAAGTTTTTTTTCTTTAATCTCTCTCCTCTCATTACTCATTTAATCCATTTCTTCACTCTTGTCTTCATCTCTTCAATCTCTTTGTTCCTCTCTTCAATCTCTTTCTCTCCGTCATCTGTCAATTTCAAATGTCTAGCCGTTATGAGGATCCCACTGCCGGTAATCAAGTCCTTCACAAGCTTCCTACCACAAGTCTGCACAAGCATCCCACAATCTGCAGCCATCGAGCAACCCACCCTCTGAGCGACCTGCAAATCGTTTATTAAGATGTAAAAGGTTTTTATGTTAAATCTGATTTTTTAATCAAAGTTTATATTTTTGAAATAATTGTATAATTGTTTATTTTTGATTTTTTGTGTTCTTTTTTATGGTAAATTTTTGTTAATTTTCGAATTACTACAACAAGAAAACACAACTATAAAAGACTAGCTAATAATTCTCAAAGAAAGAAATGAATTACCCAGTACCCATTTGAAAACCTCATCCCCTGACCACTACTCCACCACCCAACCCAGTACCCACTTGAAAACCTCACTCAAATGATTTTTTTTTTAACGGGTATTCGGGTATCCGAGATTAGCAAAGTCTGTCCTATGTCCCGGCCCACAAAACTGCTATTTTAGTGGGATGGGTACCCGATCTGAAAAACAGAAAAAAATTTGTCAATTTCCCATCGGATTTTTTGCGGGTCATTGGATAATCGGGACGGGACAACCGGGTCGGTATTTTTTGAACACCCATAGCTGACAGGATGCTGGACAATAGCCTAAATATTGCTCATACCTCGGTATTTTTTGAACACCCATAGCTGACAGGATGCTGGACAATAGCCTAAATATTGCTCATACCTCCATTGATCCTTTCATTCCTCACTTCCTCGCACATTTACTTGCGTATGCCACAATATTAGCAGGGTTAGGCTGAGACCCTTCCATAACAAAAGAGTTTCGAGCACCCCAGATCGCCCAACAAAGGGTCATCACATTCTCAACTTCAACCTCGTCCAACTCCTTCAAGTAGTGCTCCCACTAGTTCATAACACTTTAAAAATTTAAGTCCTGCACATACCTGAAGTTACTGCGATTCCACACATCTTGAGCAAGGACACATTCTTTTAAAGCATGATCACAATATAGTGACTTTTCGTACTTTAGGTTACAGTGTAGAAAGTCATGTATAAAGTCATGTATATTATATTAGGTTAGAAAAAAAAAATCTACCTAGTGGATTGACCCATAAATCCATAATGTCTCTCAAATGGCCATATCTAGAAACTACTACGGCATCGTTATGTCCACTAAAATTCTAAAATCCCCTTCTCCTTTATACCAGAATTTCAAACATATTTAAGTATGGAGTTATGAATCCTTCCAAATATAAACCATCCCATTAAAATCCATTCAAAAAATAGCAAGATTTTCTTGTCGATAAACCTTGCATATCACTGATTCTTCCTCAAATGGCAGTAGTTGAATTGATAGTAACGGCAACGAAGCTTGCGGGAGTATTGGTTTCATTGACATTTGCAGCAAATGCTTTCTCTTTCTCTCGGTTTCGAAAGAAGAGTCTTTGCCCTTTTGATACTCCTATTGATGAGAATGCCGATGAACTTGCTCTTTTCAATGTTAATCCCTCAGGTTAATTTAATTACTTTTCTGACTCAATTTTTTGTTATTCATTTAATTAATTCTGTTTTGTTCTGTTGTTGTAAATTTTGTTTCTTGAGTAATTTTAATTGTTGCTATTAAATTTGATTTATTGAGTAATTTATTTTATTTTATTTGTTTGTGGTGTTAAAATGCTAGTGTTAAGTGATGAGTTGTTGAGATTTGTCAATTATTGCTCGTATTTAATTTAATTTGTTTTCTGACTGTACTTGTTGTCATTCATTTATTTAATCAGTTTTGTTCTGCTCTTATAAATTCTGTTTCTTGAGTGATTGTGATTGTTTCTTTTGAATTTTATTGAGTGATTTGATTGTAATGTTTTTTGTTCGTGGCTGTAAAATGTTAGCTTTTGAGATACTTATAACACTTCTCTAGTACAATTTATGAAGTGATAAGTTGTTGAGACTTGTCAATTATTACTCTTATTTAATAAGAAAATGGTTGAGATAAGAGATTACCTCATTTCATTTAAAAAGTAGATGTGCTATTAAAGATATTGGTGTGTTTTGGGCCCTAAGCCCCTAGTTATTTAGTATTTGAAAGAGAAAATGTATCAAAATAATAATAAAGTCTTTCCAAACCCAAACTAAGGACAAACGAAAAAGGAAAGTGTTCATACTATTTATACAAATGACTTACTTTGTAATAGGCCATTTTTTACCTTTAGTGGTGAGGTTGTGTGTGTGTGTGTTTTTTTTTTTTTTTTTTTTTTTTTTTAATCATTACTAGAGATTAATTTAGTCGTTCTCATATAGGGAATCGGGAATTCAAGTTGCATGACTCATTGATTATGCGTGTGTATTGTTTCTAGTTGATGATGTGTGCGATTGATCAATATTGAATATTTAGTTAGACTTTCTCGTTGGAGGAATTGAAAGTTCAAGCTGCATGAGTGACAAGATTGTGTGTATGCACTTTTACAAGGAGAAAATAGAGTAAGGCCCTGATCTTTTGAGCTTCTGGCACAGCAGAGCAAAGCAGCTAATTTGTACTCAGCAAAGCAGGGCAGACCACAACAGCTCAAAAAAATAGGCCTAATAGTGTAACACAATTGGAAGTTTAGAAATACTCTTATATGTAAGGTAAAAATGCAAGAATTAAGGCATTGGTATTCTTAACTGACGTGTAACATGTTCTTCAAATAAAAACCTTTTTTTGAATAGGGAGTTGCTTATGTGAAAGTAATTTGAAATGTCATCGGTGGATATAGAACCTATAAGGCATGTATATATTTGGTAGATAGATGCAATAAAGTGAATTGAGAAAATCAAAATCGGAAGACTTTACGTGTTTAATTAATAATATGTGCTAGTTATGCCTGTAGGTGGAGAGAAATTTGATAATGTAGGATAGTAGGAGAGGCCAGAAGGCACCTGGTAATTCTCAGAAAAGGAGCCTATATGCTTCTTCATGTACATTAGGATAATACACTAGGCCCAAAGAACGAACTTGAATTAAAAAAACTCCATGCTTTAGATACTCATTTACTGAACTCCTGGTTCTGGCTTACTTGTACTGGCCAACTGGCTGTATATTGATGAGATGACTACATGGTCCATGCGTATGAGGTCACTACAAAATTTGCATATATTTTATGAATGCCAGTATCATTTTGATATCAAATTCTGAAATTTTTTCTACTCCTAGACTATTTCTGTTTCAATAACTGTATAATTTTTTCCTACATTTCTTAATGAAATGTAAACTCTTTGTGGAACTCATTAACAAATTTTATTTTGATTTTTATACCAGATGGGGAACCTGAGTTCTTCTTTGGATTGGCAACAGCGCCTGCTCATGTGGAGGATAAGCTCAATGATGCCTGGCTTCAATTTGCAGAAGAAAAGCTTTGTGACGAAACTGAATCTGAACAACAACCAGCTGATGCTCTTTTGGCTTCAGGTGCAGGAGATGGTGGGGCTCAACCAGCTATACCTTCAGAAGCTAAGGATAGACCAAAGAAAAAGAAAAGTTATAAGGTAGCTATGGAAGCAATGATAAGAGGTTTTGAGAAAGTAGTTGAAGTAGAAGAAGAAGAAGAGCAGGCTCCAATCAGTGAATGCAACCATAATGTGGCTGCATGGCATAATGTTCCCCGGCCGTAAGTTTAAAAGTCCACGCTTCTATGGAGTTCTGTTATGTCATGTATTGGGGTTCTATTTCTGTATATAGATTTTTTTTAAGGGTCCCAAGCTCCACATTAATCTTAGCATTATCTGAAATAATGTTTTACGTTGCTCGAAATTTGTATCAGGGAGGAGAGACTAAGGTTTTGGTCTGATCCTGATACGGAGCTCAAGCTTGCCAAAAATACTGGTGTCA